TAAGATGGTAGTAGGGGAAGCTGAAGGGTTGGTGGAGAGGGAATATTTGGGAACAAGCTATGTTTTCTCAATTTTTCTATAAATACAAAACTACTAAAAAAAGAATAAATGCCATTAATTAAAATAAAACCCATAAACAATAAAAACAGACTCATGGATACAGAGAAAAAACTGATGGTTGCCAGATGAGAGGAGATTTGGGGGGCTGGGTGACAAAGGTGAAAGGATTGAGAAACAATTTGGCAGTTACAGAATAGTCACGGGTGTCAAGGACAGCCCAGGGCATACAGTCAATATAACTGTATGGTGCCGGTAGGGCACTAGACTTATCGGGGCATCACATCTTACGTTATATAAATGTCTTAACACTATGCTGTACACCTGAAACTAATATTAAATGTTAATAGTAATTGAAAAATAAAACCCAGCACCCAAGAAGTGACAACTAGTGTGAATTGATGAGGAGCAGATGGAAAATGAGGGCAGGAGCAAAGGTGGGAAGTTTCATTGAGGGGACATGGATTTGTCTTCCTCCCTCTGTCATTCCGCTCAATCTTGGGAACAAACTCGCCGCCATTTGCCCTTCCCCCTGCCATAGTAGCTACAGTCCGTCTCTCCACTCATTTCCAAGGCGCCAGAGTTAGAAATTCGAGGAATTTCAACAAAAAGGCATTTTCATAGTGAGGATGAGGACACTGACTAAACGAGGTGGAGATGGGCCGGTGGCAGGTGGTGAACGCACGCACGTGAGAAATGGGAGAGTTGGAAGGGTCCAGGAACTGGGCGACGCGTTGGGTGCCTCTGCATCCAGTTCTTCCTTCTCCCAACTGTAGAAGTGTTTATCCCAAAAGACTCCTGGAAACTTTTTTAAAGTTTTTTAAATGTTTTTTTAATTTTCTTTTTACTGAATGATTTTGAGAGAGAGCGAGAAACATTGATTTGTTGTTCAAATTGTTGCATTCACTGGTTGCTTTTTTTATGTGTCCTGACCAGGGATTTAACCCTCATTTGTATGTGTCCTGAGCAGGGATTTAACCCTCAACTTTGCAGCACTGGGACAGCATTCTAACCGAGCTACCCAGCCAGGGCCTAGAAACCTTTTTTTTCCCCCCTGATTTTTTTAAACATAAAACTTTATTTTCTTTCTATAAATTGTCAAACCAGTTTGATAAGGATTTTTAAAATGTTTCTGAGCTAGCAGTTTTCTATAAGAATGATTCTTCCCTAAAAGGCACACTTAAAGTATTAAAGGTACAGTTTGTTTATTTTTTATAAATTTTGTGAATATTTGATTTGTTCAAGCACCTATTCATAAACAATGAGTCATGCTTCTTTAACTTGAAAGAGGTAATTACTAACAATCTAGATGTAGGGAAATACTTCACTCTTGCACAAAAGAGGTAAAGTCTTTTAAATTCCAGGCATAAACACACAGAGCTTTATAGCTTCAGTTGTATGACTTCAGCCATGAATCAAAATAAACACAAAGGCTCACTTATCCTGATCTCAAATAGTTCCTTCACAGTGGGTATAAAATACCTGGTTGATTGAATTGAGTTCACAAAGACACAAACAGGCAAACAGGAAGATAGATTCTCTGTCATCTGTCATCAAATATGAAATAAGCCTCTTTCATCCAACAGATCCCCAAATCATCAGACAATATCAAATTTTCAAGTCATTGCTGCCATTAATGGGGAATAATCAATTGGCCTTGCATATACCAGAAACAAAAACAAAATCAGACAATCAAATACCACTAGAATAAGTACAGTCAGTTTTATCACTGCTTGGGAATCATTTTGGAAAACCAAGAAAAGACGTGTGGGCTTAGGCAACCTATGGGAGCACTTCTCAAGCAAGGCAGTTCAGTTGGCTCTGTCAGGTAAGTCTATTTGGACTTCTCAGTGGGATGACCTCTGAAAGAGCTTAAGTAAGTTTGCAGAAAGGTAAAATCTTGACTATCTTGCAAACAAAATAAGCTCATGCCAAAAATGTTATTAAGCCCATTATCTGATGAGGGAGCCAATGAGATTAAAGTTGGGTGAAGGAGCATTTGAGGGGCTGGAGATCTTTAAGCAGTTTAGTCTGCCAGGCCATCAGTGGTAAGGTTTGGCATTCTCTTTTCCACTGGACAGAAATTATGTGCATCTCCATCAGACCAAAAAAAATCCACAAATTAATCTGTCCTTGTGGAGTTACAAAATAGTGCTGTCCATACAGAGTCAAAGGCGCAAGCCCAGCACTGCTCTGAAAGAACACTTAGAAATCTTTGCCGATTTCTGTTCCTATGTTTTGCCTATTACTTTTTTCCTTGTAGTGGGACTAGTGTGCCAAAGACAAGTAAGTTCTCACAGTAGCAGTAACTTCAGTTATTTTAAATTGCTACAGAAGCTGAGCGCTTTTGTAGATAATGTCTTTCTGGCCCTCCCCCCTGCCCCCCATATAAACTCTTAATTCCTCTACTCTAAATCACTCCTAGAACGAAACCTGGGTGCTTCCCCCCCCCATATTAAAAGTGAAAATAACATTGCTGTAAGGATTGAACAATATTAGAAACAAGTACTTAAAATGTGTATTAATCTTTAGTTTCCTTTGGAGAGGATTTTTGCTTGCTAGTTCTCTACAGCAAGATGATGCTAGGAAAATGTTTTAGAAGACAAGTTCTCTCTAAATGCAAGTCTAAAATGCTTAAAAGGGATTAATGGTTTTAAAGACCCAAATCAAACATACTTAATATTAGCAACATTGTATTTGAATCCTAAAAGTTAGACATCATAAACATTACATATTTTTTTTTAGAAAGATGGCCAAGAAATTAACAACTCAGCATCTTCTAGAGACTGGCATCCTAGACCATCATGAGCACCCAGCTGTGGTTCATCCACTACCACCTTCTTTGTTCTAAATCCTTAGTTTCCACCTGGGCAACTCTAAAGGCACTGTGAGGAAAAGAGATGCAGAGATGGATGCCCCTTTCTCCTGTAGCCCCGCTCAACATAGCAATTAGGCTAACAGTCAATGAGAAAAAGGTGTATCATCCATGAAGCTATAGTCCCTACAAGGCTTCACTCAATTTGAAAAGTTGCCAGTTCTGTCAAATATGCCAATATTTCAATAAGGTATTTATGACACAGAATCTTTGTTTTTCTAACAGTATGTGCTGAAGCCACGGATGTTGAAACACCAATCTTGTGGCTGATAAATGAATTTTGAAATGCCCATGGAAATGTGGATAGAGACAGTCAACTTCCTCCTGGGTAAATTCCCCAGCTGTCTTGTGGACCATGTACCACAAAGCTTTTGCATTCTTGGATGTACAGCATAAGAAATGTCCAGACCTTGAGGGCTACTGGGTACAGACCAAAGAAATTCAGTATAGTCTGTAACAGTCCATTTTGCAAGCAGTCCACACAACAGCCATCCAGAAAAGATTAGACGCATTGGTTCCTCGGGGACTGAAGTAACAGTCAAAAGTTGTATGAAACCAGGTTCCAATTACGGCTGTATTAGTCTCTGCTCCGTTTGCAGGTAATAAGGGTAGACAAGTGAAATCTTCTGAAACACTCTCCAGAAGACTGTCTCCAAGATTTTGACAGACTCTAAACAAGAAATGCTTCAGAGTCTCTTTGTGTTCCTTTCATTCCTAGGAGAGTAGAGAGAAGTCACTTCCGTGCTGAAGTCTTCTTCCACTTCCACAGCAAGCCCTGTTAGCCTTTCAGCAGCAATAAATGAACCCAGAAGTTTAGAATACTCTTTGAGATCGGTGTAGGAGAATTTATGCAGGGGAGTTAAACTATACAAAGCCCACTGTTTACACAGAAGGAATGCAACCTTTTGAGAACCATCTTCGGGCAACTGTGAACACCGGGGAGTTTTCCTTCCGGGTGCAGTCGGGACAAATTAAGTCTGCATCCTGAGGGATTCCAGTCGTTTCTGCCGAGGGGTGGCTGGCACCTGTAAAACAGTCTTTAAGCCTTGAGACTGCACTTTGTACGGAAGCCGATTCTGATGCATCACAAAAATCCGTGGTCTATTAAATGCTGTGATGACGCTGCCACCCACTCCGGCTTCAGGAATCATTCTTAAGTCTGGATCCAAAACTGTGCGCAGGCTGAGTCCCCTCTGCCAAGGCCTGCTGCGAAATCCCGCCGTAGGAAGATGCAGTTTAGCTCGCCGCCGCCGCAGTTTAAAATCGGTTGCCGACTCGCTCTGCGGCCAGACGCGGGAAGCTTCCCTGGCACCGATTCCAAGTGAGAAAGCAACTGCGGTCGCCGTGTTAACTAAGGGCCTTTTTTCTCCTGATTTATTCTTTCTTGCCTGTTATGGGCCCCCTCCTGGCACTGAGAGGAGGGAGTAACAGGGGAGGAAGGACCCAGGACAACTTTGGCCATCTGCCCGAAGTGGGTTAGAGCAGCAGAGAGGAGCCTTTATGGCACAATGATGTGTGGACCTGTATATCAGTTTTAGGAGACACCATATGCCATCGTACCCTATTTTCCAGACTGCAGTTTCTTATCTATTAATAGACCTCTTGATGAGAAATGAAACCTTATTCCTATGGTTTTAATACAGGCTTAGAAAGAGGTACTGTTGCGGTAATGAATGTGTTTAATTAGGATATTACATTGGAATTAAAAAGGTAAGAACTGAAAAAATGCTCTTATTTGGCCTGACTTGCCAGTAGGTGCTATTTTCCTATCCCTCTATCTGATAACTCCATTGAAAAAGAATTATTTTGAGATCTTCTCCCCAGAAATCATTGGCAAACTTGCGTTTCACCTCCTTGCTTCCCTAGAAGTTAGAGGAATTTTTCGAAGTTTAGGTCTAGAGAAATCCTTTGGGTGACAGAGACACAGGTCAGGAAAAAACAGTATCCAGAAAGGGGAAGGCATTTTGTCAGCATGGGGCAAAGGGGAAGAGGGCAAAGCCTGAGGCTGGAAGAGGTGGATAAATATTTGTGAAGGTTACGTCATTACCGTTTTCAGAGGGGTCAGCATTTTTGGCTGGGGTGAAAGAGAAGGTAAGATCTAGAAAGCACCGAGGCAAAGGACGTGTTTGGACAATCACTTTCCTCTGGCTTAATTCTTTCTGGAGCAGGTGAGAACCACTTGAAACCTGTAAGGGTAGGGGCAAAGCTATATCTAGGGTAAATGAAGTTTCCAAGGGCTAAGACGCTTCCTAGCCCTGACTGGTCTTCGTGTCTCTTCCTCTTAAGCCTTTCCCTACTTTCCAATCTGAGCACTGCTTCCTTGAAGCAGGGCTGTTTCTGCTGACTCACCATGATCCAGGCTGTGCTGCTTCTTTGCTGTATCTTCCTGTCTCCAGTGGCTGCCTTTCTGAGAAATGCCCTGAAAGGGGCCCTGACCGCCCAGCTGTCTTTCACAGAAACGGGGCATCCTCTGAACATACTCTCCAGCCAGATCCTTCCCCCAGATCGCAAGACCTTCCAGGATCTCTTGCAGAAAGCCCCCTGCTTAGCCCCTCTGCCTGGGTATCCTTCTTAACTCTGGAGGTGGCCCTGGAGGAGGCTGGCTGCCCAACTGAGGCCCACATTTCTGCTGCTTCAGCTTGTTACAGTGGGAGGAAATGATACCACTGAAACCCTCATTCACGGGAGTGAAATGCAATGAGGAGGAAAGGATTGACAATACTAAGGTCATTCTGAGAGACCTGAGGGGAAAATGCAGGGGAGCTTAGACAGGTCTAGTGCTCCGTTACTCTTTCTGAGGCATGTAGGCATGAACATAGCTGGGTGCTCTATGAGTTAGGACAGCTGATGGTTGTGTTATGGTGGGATGAGTGGCCAGAGGGAAAATAAAGGCAGGGCCCTCACCGTTGCAATCCAACAACTTAATACAGGAGGCTAAAAGCAAAAAGCTCAACTGGTAATCCTGAGCCTGGTCTGATAAGGCTGCCAGGCATTCCAAACAAGAGAAACTTTGGTAGTGTAGGAATGGGGGAGCCCTTGGAAGCCTGTGCGTATCATTGTCAGGGGGGACCACCAAGCAATGGTGCTGCTGAGTCCCTTACCAGGGATGAATAGCGTCCTAAAACTCCTGTCCAATAGGCGTGTGGTCTGTGATGGTGGCTCGTAGCCACTGGCTGATGATCCAGGTCCTGAGGGTCCCTGTGCGGGCACCAACTGTCTCAGGGGGCAACGCATCACGGGGGAGTCCGGGGTGCGGGCACTCCTGGATCTGAGGGTCACTGTCCGGAGCCAGCTGAGGAGAAAGCGGGGCTCTGAATCCCACAGAGCCCGTCCCGGGGTTGTCACGGATGAGGGGAATAAACACGAGTCGTTGCAAACACTTTTCTGTTTGCCAGGAGAGGGGACATGGCTCTTCCCTCTAGTGGAGAAGGCCCTGAGCCCCCATGTCCAAAGGCTTTTATTGAGAACCATATGCACAGGGGTATGGATGCAAAGCTCATCAATCAATGTCAAAAGGCTATGTTTACAGAAAGAAAATAGAGATCATAAATAACAATTGGAGGAACACAAGAGACCTGCCTCAGGTCAGAGTCTATGACTAATGTAAATCTCCTTCCCAGTATAAGCTGGTTATCATGGCTCTTGAGGGAAGAACAAAGCATACCTACAAGAACTTACTTCTAGGCCTGATTGTCCCTGGGAACCACCTGATCTAGTTTAGGGCTATACCTGCCTTTAGTATTGTTTCAAGCCTGAGCCAGGCGGGCAGGGTAGAGCCACCAAGACATAAGGAGACTTCTTTCAGATAGAATGAGGACTCTGGCCATGTCCAAGCCAAGCCAAGGGGTGCGGGCCTTTTTGCTCTTTCTCCGTGTCCCCCCAAGTCCTTGTCCCACTGCCTATACTGGCCAATGTCTGTCTTAGGTTGTTTCTCCTTGTGAGAAAACTTACCCGTCATCAACAACCAACCATCACAGGGCCAAGCAGGGTGATGTGAGGGAGGCAAGGGCTGTGCCCCTGCCAGGGGGACAGGTTTTATCTCCTCAGTGGTCTGTTTTCCCAAGGCCTCCTTGATCATTTCCAGCCGTGGGGCCCTCTCACCTGTTGGCGGGGCTACAGTCCCTGAAACCAGATGGGACATTTCCCAATATATCATCTCCACTATCTTGGAAAAGAAAAACCTTGAGATTGTGTATTCATCCCAAGACCTGGAAGGAGGAAGACAGAGGGGTCTACAGTGCCCAAAGAAAGGGCCCATAAACAATTTTGGTTAACTGCCTGCTTCCTGTCACATATGCAAAATGAACAAAGTCTGGAGCAAGATAAGGATTTGGGCTAACAGATGCCCATATATATACCTACATTTGGGTAATCACATCTCCCAAGGGAAGCTAACACAACCTTTACCTGCCAATCAAAATGGAACTTCTTCACCCCCATCCCAACTATACAAGTCCTCAGAACAAAGTGCTCTCTCTCTCGGCCTCTTGGCCTCGTGACTCTCTTGCCACACAGGGGACCCCTAGCTAGGGGGACCCCTGGCCTCCTTTTTTGGCCACCCAGCTTCTATCCACCTGGCCTCTGGCCACCCTTGCTTTTGCTTTCCTATTAGAATTTAGTATTAATAAACTTTGCTTGCACACTAGTTGGCTCTCTGGCCTGTAATTCTTTACTGTATCAGCAAGAAGAACCACATTCCTGGGAGTTTCTCCTATTACAGCTTAGTATGCTGAGAAGCTCCCTTCCATTGAGTTGGTAACAGAGTTCAAGATTTCTGCCCTCAGTGTTGCTCAGAAGTGTACAAATGAGTCTTGGAAGCATTTAGAAGCAGTAGGCAAACAACTGACAAAAAGCCCTGAAACTGAGATCCCCACAATGTCTTAGGAAAACAATTTATGTCAAACATTCCACAACCATTCTGAAAGGCAGTATACTGGGCTTGATAGGCTAATGTTTTCAGACTTATTTAAAATAGGCAAGGCCCCCTAGGCATCATGTTTCTATTGTCAAATGTCTCTGATAGGATTGTGTATGGAGCTGGGCAGAACAGGTAGTTAAAAGTGTTGGGACAGCTTAGGGCAGATGTGTGCTCTTCATCTGGTCCCATTGCTAAAAAAAACATGACCAGAGTCATCCTTGCCCTGCTCTGTTATGTCTAGCCCCCATTTCTTCTCCCAGTTTCTCTTTCTGTTGTGAAATACTGTGGATTTATTGGATACTAGACAGGAAGGTATTTTAATCTTTGCCCATTCATCTATTGTACTTTTTTTTTTTAAAGAAAGTGTTGATTCTGGAGAGAGAGGGGGAGAGAGAGAGAGAGAGAGAGAGAGAAACTCTCTGAGTTGTTGTTCCACTTATTTCTGCTTTCATTGGTTGCTTCTTGTAGGTGCCCTGGTCAAACCTGCAACCTTGGCATATCAGGACGACACTAACCAATTGAACTACTTGCCTGAGGCAGTAGTTTATAACTTTTTACTACTGAGTTAATATATCAGTTTATGACTATGTGACTTTTTAAAAATTTTAACCCATGCAGTTATTCATAGATATCTGGGTAGTTTCCAGTTTGGGGCTATTATGTGTCAATATGCTATGAATATTTTTATGTTTTATGTGGACATGTGTTATTTTTCTTGGATAAACAGTAAGAAAAATTGCTAGGTTATGGGGAGAATATATTTAGTTTTATAAGAAACTGCCAGTTTTCGAATGCAGTTGTACCAATGTGCGAAAGTTCTAGTGGGTTCTCACCAACGCTTGATAATCGGTCTTTTTAATTATAGCCATCTTAGTGGGTATCTCATCACTAGGATTTTGACAGGGATTGCATTAAATATGTTGGTCTGTTTGGGTAGTATTGACATCTTAACAATTTTAAGTCTTCCATTCCATGAAAATAATGTCTTTCCATTATTTATGTCTTTAATTTATTTCAGCAATGTTTTCTAGTTTTCATTGTACAAGCATTTTGTCTTCTTGGTTAAGTTTATTTCTAAGTATTTTATTCTTTTTTATGTATTTGTGAAAAATGTTTTCTTATTTTCCTTTTCAGAATTTTTTCAGATTTTTCATTGTAAGTGTGTAGAAATACAACTAATTTAGGGGTGTTAATATTGTATCCTGCGACTTTGCTTAATTTATTAATTCTAACACATTTTTCTGTGTGTGGATTTAGTGTTTTCTACATATATGATTACATCATCCACAAACAGATCATTTTGCTTCTTCCTTTCCAATTTGGATGTCTTTTATTTCTTTTTCTTGCCTATTGCTGTGGCTAGGACTTCAATAATACGTTGAATTAAAGTAGTGAAAGCAAGTCTCTTTATCTGGTTCCTGATCTTTGAGGAAAAGCTTTCAGTCTTTACCATTGAGTATAATGTTAACTGGGTTTTTCATATATGGCCTTTATTATGTTGATATAGTTTTTTCTTTTTCTATTTTGTTGATGTAAAATGCTTTTCTGCTGATCATGTGGCTTTTCTCCTTCATTCTGTTAATGTGGTGAATCACATTGCTTGATTTTCATATATTGAGTCATCCTTACATTTCAGGAGTAAATCTCATTTGGTCATGGTATATGATCCTTTTAATATGTTGCCAAATTGAGTTTGATAGTATTTTGTTGAGGATTTTTGCATCAGTATTTACAAGGAATATTGGTCTACTTTTCTTTTTTTGTAGTGCATTTGTCTGGCTTTAACATCACGGTAATGTTGGTTTCCTAGAATGAGTTAGAAAGAATTATCAAGAGTTTGAAAAGGATTTGGTGTTGCTTCTTTTTCAAATGTTTGGTAGACTTTACCAATGAAGCTAGTTGGTCAAGGGCCTTTCTTTTTGGGGAGGTTTTTGATTACTGATTCAATCTCCTTACTATGCAAATTTTCTATTACTTCATGATTCAGTGTTGGTAGGCTGTATATTTCTAGGAATTTGTCTATTGTATCTAGATTATCTGATTTGTAGTCATACACCTATTCATAGTTCTCTCAAAGTATTTTTTGTTTCTTTAAAATAGTAGTAATGTTCCCACTTTCATTTCTTTTTTTACTGAGATACAATATTTCATTCTTTTTTAAAATTGACATAATATTCGTTTCAGGCAACATAATGATTCAGTATTGTACATATTGTGACATGATCACCACAGTAAGTCTAGTGAACATCC